ATTGTCAGTCGATTTCAGGAAAATGGTACGTAAATTAGAGTGTGAAAGTTGCATGTTAAGCTCGGGTGTCGGAGGTATCCCGGGATGTCCTCTCTAGTTTAGGTCTGCGCCCGAGTGGTATGTGTGAGAACCGTGGAGTAAGTGTGTTGGTATGCCTGTTTTGCCATTTTTTAAATATAGGGCAATTGGTTAGGACAGATAGCTTACCTTCTGGTGTGCCTGTGTTTAATTCTAAGTAGGTAGGGCCGGGCAGGTTGGCACAGTCTCCTTTTCGCGTGTCCAATCTGTTTCAGGAAATTGAATTTGAAAAATCGACAGTGAAATTGGTACAAGTGGAGCATGCCACTTGCTTTCGAATTTAGTACCGCGGTCGCGGTCGCGAGTAGGTCTCGAAACGAACGTTCACGTAGGTATTGCTCGAGCACACACATGCGAACGGACGACGATCATTACGATCGATGGTCGTCCATGTGCATTGAGGTCAGCTTCAAGTTATTTTTTGGCTTGCGATTAGGAAGACTCGAGCTAGATGTAAGTTTCAGCGGGCATCGCGCTCGAAGAAAGAAGAGGCTAAGAGCCGAAGAGGCCCGGCAAACTGCCACGAAGAGGGTCACAACAAATGGCTTCTCATCCTCTGGATCATTCAAATGATTCCAGAGCATGGGAAATCATTCTCGTTACTACTTTGTCACTATGCTCTTTTAGTATTTGTAGTTCTACTCTTCTTTTCCTCTTCGTATTTGTAGTTCTACGTCATCTTTTTCATCTTCGTTTTGGGCAAATCGCGGTTTTTTCCTGTTAGTGTTGCGATAGATTGATTACGGTTTGTTTTTTGCAATTTTGGTTGTTAATTTTCATGGTTGTCTTAGTGCTGTGTAAATTTATCTTGCTTCCTATTGTTTTCAATTATATTGTAAAATCATTGCTTTTAATTAATTTTAGAATGTTAGATTATTTAAAATAGTTTTCCTTTTCGCACGTATTGTTGATGATAATTTTCATTGAATTTGGTTTTAGAATTAGTGTTGCGATATTGTTCCATCGCGATTAGTTTTCCATTCATTGTTAGTATTGCGATAATGAATAATCGCGTTTCTTGAAATAGCGTTGCATTTAGAAAATGCCCAAATTCTTCCATTGGATTCATGGAAGGCTGTTTCTCCTCCTGGTGGATCACCTGATGCAGCTATAAGAGCTGTACATAAGTAATTCGTAAGCAACCTCCAGCATGGTTGCATGGTTTACGCTAAATAATTGATTATATAAATGATACATTTATTATATAACTAATATACTTATTATATTAGTTATAGTTATACAGTTATATTATTATATTATTATATTACACATTTATATTATTATATTAGTTATAGTTATACTTACTATTTATATGGCAATTAATACGAGCTGATTGGCTGCGATTTCGCTTAGATATTTGTGTACATATCCATTAGATCAACGAAAAATAAATAATATGTAGTTTTGACATATGGGTAATTAATTTTTAGGCGTATGGAAAGTATTTCATCCGAATTTGTATATTTTTTGTACAAAAATATTGTAGAAAGTCTAGAGTTAATTATTTCTTCTACGATGATTGTCTCTGTAAATGTGAATTTCTAATTTATCTTATATTATATCGAACTTTTGGTAAAATTTGTTTGAGCTTGATAGGTTCTTTAATATTTTATTAATAACTTTAGAATTTTAATTTACTGCATAGAAAAGAAACCATCGTAATACCATAAAAGATTGATAAAACTCTTCTATATAATTCTGATATATAGTAGAATGATTTCGGTTAGCTTTTTATATTTTATACTTTGACCCATTAAATGTTTCTATAAAGATTTACAAATTCTGTCTAATAAATATTCGTTCGAATAATATTTAATTTCTCACAAAGTATATTTAAAGTTTGAATCAAAATTGATCGTGGGCATAATGCAGCATGGAATGTAGCTTTAAGATACATACATGGATAGGATTTGTAAATCAGTAATTAATTTAATTGAAAGGAAGATAGAAAAGGAAAAATGATCGCAATATTTTACATATTTGTAGTATATTAGAAATCTCTTGTCTTGTGTAACAGTTTTTGTGTACAATATGATACAACTCTGAACTTAAATCACTGAGCTTTTATCAGCGTAGTATTGCTATTTATTTACACGACTAAATAGACAAAATATGTTAATTTGCATCGTTTTAGCTTCAGGATTTCATATGACTCATCATTCGAGTTTTTTTAAAAATTTTATATCATTTATTCTTTCAGTTAAACAAACACAATGCTCGAAAATAGGAACGAAATTGTAATAAAACAAAAATATTAAAAATACGTCTATCTAAAAGCTTTTCATTGCTTTTTTTTTT